GGGGGAAATAAATTAGGAATTGGTTATTGCCCAGAACTTGGCAGAGCTCCCCTCTCCTCTGGCAGCGGTGACCACAGCGACTCTGTACCAGCTCTCAGGCTTGGAGACATCCAGTTAAGTCAAACTGCTGGAGCAAGTCCTGCGTCTCAGAGTAGCTGCTCTCTACAGAGAAGGGAAAGGCCTAAGCGGGTAATAATTCTCAGCTGACTGATCACACACCACTGGACCTGGAGTCGGATTAGTCACTGCTCTGTTCTAGGAAAGCATTACGACTCTTAATATATCACACTTCAGGCAGTAAAAGCAGGAAGGCAGTTGTCAGAGATAGGAAAACTAAAGGGTCAGGCAGTGGAGCACTGCAGCCGAGCAAGAGAGGGAATAACAAGTACTTGTACTGAAGCCGGAAGCGGTGTTTATACAGCATCATTCTAATGATTTTCTTCTGCACAGTCATGTACTTCAAAACCATAAATAAATACGTTAAAGTGCATTTCATTTCTAAATTTAAATGAGTGCAATTGCAGGAGTGTAATGGAAAAATGTTCGAATTCGGGTGCCTAAAACATAGGCACTTCAGTCCGTAATGAGCTATCCAGAGAGGCAGCCTGAGCATCAGCAGAGATGAGCCTCAGCCGCTCCTGTTGATTTTGCTGCTTGGCCACTTGTGTCTAATTCTGGTTTTAGATGCCTTTCTAGTATTCCTTTAAGCGTGAACTTTTGGGGCCGAATTTCTTGTCTGCTGTGCTCTCTGAGCTTTATGCTAGCCCCTTTCACTGGCTCTTCTTCAAGAGCATCCTGGTTTGTTTGAGTGGGTCTCCGGTACTCGTCCAGAGTTCGCGACCTCTTGGTTCACTAACCTCTGTCTTATTTTCGAGGAACTGGGAGATGGTTAGCTATCTGTCTTTTAGAGAGGTTGTACTGGCAAAGAATGTATGAAACATCTGAGGAAAGAAGATACAAGTGGCACCTGGATAATAAATAACCGTGAGAAAATACATGCTTTTTCCTTGATGTGGGATAGACGCACAGCTGCACTCTGAACCACAGAAAGAGCGCAAGCTGGGATTTTAGCTATGTTCCCATGAATGCTATAATACAGTTTATCCTTCCAATTGCCCGACTTCAGTGTGCAAAGATTGGCTATGTATCCTCTCATCTTGCATCAGGGCACTGCGTGTGACTGGATTCTTACTGGCCAAAGCAAATGAATTCGCTGCCTCGCCTGTCGTGTAACCGTTTGGTCAGTTAGCTGGATAAGAAGTTGTTTCTGCACGTGGGTGAAATGGGAAAAGAGACATAACTGAGAGTGAATATTCCTTCTTTCTGTCCCATCCCTGATTATCCTGCTACATTACCGGGTTTCAAAATGTGGTGGATGAAGATAGTATGGTAAATGTTTGGGACTGTTTGACAGTTTATCTTTCTCAGTCCCTTCAGCCAGACTCTTTAGGTTTGTGATCTGCTCAACAGTAGAGCTCTTTGAAATGAGCAACTTCAAGTAGCGTTGGTTTAAGAGCATCCCCTTCACTTTTTGTCTTCGCAGAGCTGCACTTATTGAGCATTGGGTTCAAGTGATGAGTTCAAGTGATGCTACATCTTTATTACTCCGTACAAAATTCAAACAGCAGTTTTCTCCCATTCTGCAATGGGACTGCAAGATGCTGTTGTTTTTGCATGAAGCCATACAGCAGGGACACTTGCTCAAAATCAGGCCTAGATACACTCAGGCTTGCAAGCACACGTTTGACCAAACACAGTCGATGTTTTAAGCATTCCAAAATCAGTTTTGAATGACTTCGGGCTTTCGGGCAAACATTTTGTGCCCTTCAATTAGATCTCCCTGAGCAAAGAAGCAATGTGACAATACTGAGCTGAGCCCATATTGTTCCTTTCTCTTCAGCGCAGCTATGACCATTAACACAAGCTCAAGATCTCCCCCCGGAGAATTTTTTTTGACCAGTGCACTCCCTGAAGCTCTCCTACAGCCATCTCTAACAACCTTCTCATGAAGGTCAGTCTGATTTGCAAGTATGCTAATAAAACTAGCACCTTGGACTCCTCTGAGTGGCATACTTCTGTGCTGCTCGTCAAGCTGTCCATTGGGGTTCACGTTACATTCCTAGCTCCGGTAATCTATTTTCCCAGGGTATTTATGTGGGAAATGCAGTTCTCCTTTCACTCTTTTAGTTCATAAAAAGCACACAAAATCTCAGTGCTTTACTGAGTCTAAACCAATATGTCCCATGTGATGAGCAAAGCTTTCCTACTGCCTATTGATAAACTACGGAGGATAATTCCTTTCATCGCAGACAATCTAAAGCTGCCTTAATCCTGTAATGTCTATTTGGTCAATTTACCCACTGTGACAAAATCTTGAATCTCTAAAGCCTGTTATTAAAGTCCTCTTGATTGAAAAGCTATTCCATTTTACAGAGCTGAAACCTAAAGGTTTGGTTGCAGTACACACAAGGCAGTCAAAGAGCATTACAAGATCCACATCTTGAGTGTGTACGCATTTCCAAAACACTGCAGGGATTGACGTGTGAGAGGTTAGTGTGCCAAAGAGGGTGGCTTTCTCTTTAAATGTCTGTATGATATTTAGCATCAAGTCTGGCCCCAAATAACATTCTGCTATTCCAGATGATTGTATAACATTACGTAGTGTTACATTTCACATGACTTTTATTACTCAGCCAGACTTCGGGATTACGTTTTGCCTACCAGCTTCCTTTGTATGCTCTAGATCAAAAACCTCCTTAAAACAAAGAAGATGTGGTAGATGCATCTGTTTGACCTTCTACCTCCTTCGGCCTCAGTTATTCAAACAACTCCTCTGTTTGTAAATCAGGGAGAAACACTTGCTTAAGGAGGCTGATGTAAGAAGTGCTTCATAATAGAGATTATCAACAGTATCTCACCCACACACACAGAGTAGGAAGGCGATGGAAACTGGAAGGATTGCATTCACATATTGAGTACGATATGTAAAAAAAATCCTAGGCTGTGAGGGTTAAGCTGACCCACTAGAGGTCCCTTCCATCCTTCTCTAAACTGCACCTCTCATTCAAGGAAAGAGTCCGTACCCAAAGCAAGTGCAGTAAATGCTAAGCTGACATGTGGTAGGCACTCTTGAGAGCAGCCTGGTGACGGTTTGTATTTGACCGGAGCACCCAAAGTAACTCCTGTGTTCAAGCACGCTATGCACACAGGAGACTTGATGTCTTGTTATGGGGAAAACAGCAGAAATCCATGACTTGTGACTCTCCTGACTTCATGTACTTCCAGATAAGCTGTTCTGTTCAGGCACATTCTTTCTTCATTTTTTTCCCCTAGATATCTAGCATCACTGAGAGGCAACGTTCTTCACGCGACAACTTTCTATCTCAGAGAGTTGCTCTTATTTAGCCGCTATTATCCTTGACTCTTCGCGTTGGGTCTGATCATAAGTTCAGCAAAATAACTGGGAAGGATTCAGTCAGCTCTCTGTCTGGATTTTGCAAGACTGAGTGCCCTTGCCACTGGCTCCAAAGGGAGTGAAAGCTGCGCAACCTATCTCAGGGTTAGGAAAAATATTTTGAACAGATCTGGGGACATGATGCTGCAGTGTCTGGGCAGGCTGATAAAAATATCTAATTTCACTCTGAGGCATTACTGGGTTTCTCAGAAGTTCTTTAGCAGCTAAAGCGTTTCTATAACAAATAACATGTCTGGCAGTCTTTTCTTGGGACAATTTGCTATTGCTTTCCATGGGAGATTTGCCTCAGTAAAATCTGTAGCACCAGGCCTATGTCATTTTGATTATTTTTGCATGGCTATAATAATGCGCTTCAGTGTTTTCATCCATTCCTGGTTTAAGCCTTTGACTGAAAAAAAATATCTCTAGGCTTAAGTGAGTTATTAACCATTAACTCTAGGAATGGTTTGTGGTGGTATTAAAACATGACACATGTTTGAGTGCGGTGTCTGTGTTTGTGCTGTGCCCACAAACAAAACTACGTGAATGCCACTAACTGACAGCTAACTGGTTTCTCGTGTGTGTTTTACATGCCTTAGCAAAGAGGGAGCTGAGAAATGCATCTTGACTGTTTAGCTTCCACTTCTTTCCCCCCTGCTCCGTCAGGAGAGAATGGGGATGTTGGGAAGACCTCTAATCCTGACCTTTAAGAACAAGTGTTAGAACAACTCTAACTTCAAAAAGAGAGAGAGTATTTCTTAGCAGATCTCTTTTTTTTTTTTGAAACCAAATCTGGCCTAGATCCAGCTCAGAGTTTCCTAGCCAAGCAAATAACAGCATTTGACTGTACTTCAATCGTTTTCATTTTGGATTTCTGAAACCAAAGTTTAGCTCCTCTGCATCCAAAGAGAAGCAAACGGTCTCAAATGAAGGAAACAGCTCAACAATAGTTTGCAGGAGTACAAAACAGCTAAGTATTAATGGACTGAGAAGAATCCACCGTAGCATTATCAGCAATAACATGTTCTACACAATTTGCTGTAGGAGATTTGTAATAGCTGTCTGCCTGGTGCCAAGGTTTAGGTGTGTCTGAAGTCACTTCACCTGGGGGATTTTTTTTGTGTTGTTGCTTAAATGGCAGAGGAAGTGCTATTTGGAAATCTTGTCCTTATGTATGTAATAAAATGTTTACAAGGAAAGCCATCTGCCATTGTTTGCTGTGTCATGTTTCCCTATAAGTCGGGATTGGATTTTCCAACTCTCTTTCTCCAACCTGACTTCTTTCTGAACTTAGTAACAATTCAGCCCTCCACAGTGTGACTGAGGTGGTTCTTCCTTAGAAAATCTGATGCAAGGCCAGTGAAAGCCAGTGAGTTCGATGGGTGAGACAGCTGCTCCTACATCAACCCCGTGGCTTCCCTTCCGCACTTTGCGTAGGGGTATTAGTATAAACCATACTGATTATTTCGGAAGGAGCAAAAAGGTCATTTCC